ATCGTATCGTCTGACCTAAGACGCTCAGTAATGGATGTTCGTGTTAAAAGAGGCGCAGAGCTATCAACCTATCATCACCTTGTCGTTGGCACGCTGCGCTCTAATGGAGTACCACTCGAAGATCCGGTGGCAGAAGCAACTGGAGAATCAAATGGGAAACACTGTCTTCGGTGGAGACGAGAGCGAAATTTGCAAACAACATCGCACGACGGTTTGAACAGATCCCGGTGATGACCACTAATGTGAAAGCCGTGTGGAAATACTTTAGTAACAACGTACTCAGGGCTGCCATGGAAGGCGCGATTCAACCGGAAGGTCAGAAAAAAATTCTTGGTGAACACGAGATGTATGAGTATCATTCAGGAAAATGCTTGAAAACAAAGATCCTTCAACTCTCAAGCAGTATGAAAAAGCACACAGAACAGCAGAGACAGCAGTGGCGAAAGCTAAAGCTAATCCCTTAGAAAAATGCGGTGAGGAGTTGGAGTCGAATTTCTAGAAGGCATATAAGATATTTTGGCAGACCATTGGCCTCCTATGAGGTAAAAAGAAGGGGCGTGTAAAAATCCTGAAGGACTGGTCTAGACACCCTCGTGCCAAGGTTAAGGAGATTCTTCGATAAAGGGACGGCACTTTGAAAAACTGCTTTACTCGGAACAACCACATTAAGAGTCGCTGGAATAGCAACAGGAAACGGATATCAGCATCTCTGTAGCTAATGTCACGCAAGCTGCGTAGAACTTGAAAAGAAGATAAGCTTCTAGAATCGATGAAATACGCCATGAAACGCTTAAAGCATTAAGCGAACGGAGCACGTGCTCGCTTACATGGGTCTTTCAAACTGCAATGGTTACGGTACAGACACAAGCGCTCTGGAAAACGGGGATTGTGGTACCGCTGTTGAAAAAGGGAGATCACAGGGAGTGCTCCAATTATCTGGGCATCGCTTTAGTGCTTCTTCCGCCTAAAATTTGCGCAAAAGTGCTGAAATGGAATACATGTCTATAAAATTCAAGATGAGCAGTGTGGCTTCTGGTCTTTCTGAAGCACGTCTGAAGAGATATTCGCGCTGCGCTAGGCAGTTGTAAAATCTTGAGAGTTCGGACATCCGATTTATATGCGTTTTGTGAATCTAGAGAACGTATGGGAGCAGACGCTGCTGAGCAGTGTATTAGCATGAGTTAAAACATGAGACTGATGGCGCATGCTGCGAACCATGTAATTGCCATGTGCTGATAGCAGGTGCTGCGTCAGAGTTAATGACGTTAAGTCGAAACCGTTCAA